TCTCGAATAATACTGCATTTATCATACCGACATCTTAAGAATGATCTGCTTAGTACGCAATTTATTAGGCAAAAATTATTTGCCGAGGTCCGATTATCCTCTTGATAATAAAGGGGATGAGTAGACAGAGCCGTATATAAAACAGGCCAAAAGAACATTTCGAGAAACAGAGTTCTTTGATTTGTACATCATAATCTATTAGTGGTATGTTATTGATTGATTTAATGGTTGTTAAACTTTGTCATTTGGTTAACTCTAATTTTGAAAAGTTTGCTTTAATGAAACTTTTTACTTGTATTTTTAAAAAGAATAGTGTATAGTAATAAACAAACTTCTCGTAAATCTTTCGTAATTACAGTTATTATTTACGACAGCGTAGTAATAAGGTTTACCGCGCTAGCTAATAAAAGTCATTGAATTCCACATCACGAAGCTCAACTCTAGTAATGAAATATCTTTACAAAGCAATTAATTATCAGTTTGTTTTGAAGAGAATAGCTCGCGCAGCTGAGTAATAAAATTAAGTGATAAATCGAGTGGCGCTTGCGCAATTAATTAACCGCGCATGATGTATCAAAATTTGATGTAAATAAAGCAGGCGGCGACGGCGGCGCTGTGCGAGCGTACAAAACGAGTGTGTCTTCTGTGAAAGAGGATGGCACATGAACATTCGCACGGGGAAAGCCGAAAGAAGCAGCAAGATTACGTGACGCAAACATATTTCACGCGGCGCGCGGTGTACACGAGCGAGCAGCATGCAAGCCGTGCTTAAGGCCCGCAAATTTATGCGCCAAAGAAGAAGAGTACAAATGTATGGGCGCTTGTTCTTTTCAGGATCGTCCAGCTGGAAAAGTTCTTGTTACCTTTTTTATTGACAAATTTGAGAGAATTTGTCAAGAGCCTCGCGATTTATGAAAGCGTCCGCGCGTAGAAGACGTTTGGCGCGCGCTTTCGAAAACGAAGGAGCGGTAAAAAATACAAATGGTTTTCTTGGAGGAACGGACAAGTCGTGAAACAGCTAATCGCTGCATTGTGGCTTCCGAGTGACAGATTCGCCAAGCGAAGCGCGCAGCACACAGGTGTAAGGGTACGAGCGTACGTCCGTGGAAGCGAATCGTCCGCGAAGTAAGCTCGGCTGCGAGAGCGGCAAGAGGGAGCAGAAGACGGCGAGCCTGAAGAGCGTGGGGCTCGAGAGTTAAGCCTCGCAAGATAGATGGTCCGGCAGCTGGCCCTCAGCCTCGTCGGCGCTGCTGCTTTTGCCGCGCATCGCGTATGATGTATGGTGTCGCGCGCTAAAAACCGACAGACGCGCGCGCTAAATCGACGAAAGGCTCTCCTCGACTGCGTAAGCATGCGCGTGCTTGAGAAATGACGCCAAGTGGCGGAGAGGAACGCACAGCCGGAAAAATACAAATTTTTCCTCGCAACCAGAGCGTGTCGCATGCGCTATTAGCCCAGCGCGCACGGCGAGCTTTTCGATGAGATGAGGAATGAGAGTGGCAGCTCCTTCTTGCCGGCAGACTGTTTTTTACGGATCACCTCGCGTGTCGGATGTTTTTACGCGCTGATGCATTACTCGGCGGCGTCCTCGCACTCATTTATCTAACTTGCGGCGAGAGCCGTGGCATTTATTTTGCGTTTTAATACTCTGCTCATGCCGTGTGAAAAAGGAGTGAATGATCGCTTCTTCTGCCTGTCAAAAACGCGCTAGCGAGCTAGTTATTCAATGGCCACATCGATGAATTATATCATGTACTCGTGCGCGCGCTTCAATTTCAGCGCGCTCGATTTGCCTTTTCAAATATGCGCCTATATCCAATTCGAGGCATTGAATTTATATCGTAACGGTCATACAGTTACCTGAATATCCAACTGCATCATTTGGAGTCAACTATAAATAATCATCGCATTGAAAGGCAGAATTATATTATTTTGTCAGAAACGACTGCAAGCTATTTCACAGTGGTGCGCCTAGTATAAACAGCGAAGGTTGTTTGTTGCGATAAAATTTGATGATTTGAAAGCTTGTTAAAGCATAACAACACGCTAAAATCTGTTTGACGAAAAACCAAACAATAAAACCCCTGGGCTGTCACGAATGTCGTTCAAACTCGGCTAACGAACAAAATCTTCGCGTCACTCTGGCGGAGAGCAAAACAGAACTAAAGGAAAACCTCTTGTCTATAACGGAAAAGAGTTTTTTTTTTGCATCGTACGCGACAGCGGCTGAATCGTCACTTGCGCGTCAGGTAACGACGAAGAACAAGAGTAGCGCAAGGAGAAACGAAAACGCGCGAGACATGCTTTACGCATAAGTATCTAAGACATATTGTCGACTACTACGAAAAGAAACATACCTCTTTTTTTTAAGCGAAGGACTAAAGCTCCACCACACCTCGGCTACTCTCGACAGCAACTGGAATGTGTGTAGACTACATTTTAAGAGTGCCACGGGCTAAGACATTCGCCGTCGACTAGTATATCCCGATTAAACGGATAAGACGACGCGCTTGTAGTGCTTCCCTCTCAAGATTATAAATAACTATCAAGCGCTTTGAGATATGTAACAACGCACATACCCACGTGCTTTGCTTCAAGAAATATATCAGATTTTTTTCTCCTTATTCTCTTGTTCTCTCTTCTTTCGTTTTTTCAAACTGCTTTTCTTCCTAACATCTTTGTTACAAAGAATTTCTCATTTATGAAGAAAATCGGCATTGAAGCTTATCTGCGAGCATACAAATCTACCAAGCAAGATATTTATAACTACGCTATTTTACAGTTACAAGTGCAAATCGACTAGTGTAGCTTCATTTAAAACAAGAGTTTTAATTTCGATTAAAGTTAAGTATGCTTATATGCAATTCACAATTATTGAACAACAGAGCTCATTGTTTCTCCATAAATATAATGAATTAAATATTTAGAACTGTAAAAATGATATTTGAATTTAATATGATATCGTAAGTAATAAGTAGACACATTTTTTAATGAATTGGAATCTACTCTTGAATTTAAAGAAAAAGTTCTATGAATCATGCATTTTCAACTTACACTTGAACGATGGGCTTTAAATGCCGGTAGAAGCCAAGACAAGCAATTTTCTCGAGCATTCACGCGGAACGTCGATCACGCGCAATTGTTTTCTCTTATCAGAAAATATTCTTTTGATAAACTTTAATAGAATCGTTTTTCTGGTAGTAGAAGTATTGCGTAACATTTAATAAAAAAAATTAAATTTTCAAGTATTAGAGATGATAAAACTTCTTGCAGACTTGTCGAATCGTAGAATTATTATTTATTTAATTCGATCACAGAATGAGTTTATTCAAAAACCAACAATATGCAGAACGTACTTTAATGAATGTATACAATATTAATGAAGCAGTGATGATTTCAGTCGACCGAAACAAAAACATTTCAAAAATCGCTTTCGACAGCGTGTATACCATTTTGTTTACTTATTGATTTAAAAAGTATAAATGCATAGTACATCGTGTGTATGCTCCATTTCTTTCTTTGGATTAAAAGCGACAATACCGGGAGTGCGACCAGATTATTCGCACAGTAACATGACACAATCGGTTCGCAGAAAAATACGTATTGTACTTTCAACTCAAACTTTTGTTGGACAGTTGATTGTGGATGCTGCATTGGCCTATTTCTCTCTCGCTCTTTCGTTCGCTCTCGTGTGTTTTTATTTTTGTTGGCGAATAGTCGTGCATTACTGCAGAGGCGGTGCGGCGACGACTAACGACAGAGAGAGAGAAAGATTTAATTTTGCGTTTCGCCTGGCCACACAATTTATAGCATACTGGGGTGAAAAGGCGGCGAGAGAATAATGACCGCTGCCATGAGCGTTTAAATTTACTGTGTACTATTCTGCATCTCATATCTTTTTTTGGGAAAAATCAATTGCTCCAATATAAAGTCTTTTTTTACCTAAATACATATTTTTGCATATTCCAATTCATTTTAATTATATCATCAATCAGTAATAATTATTCTTTGCTCTTTTCATAACTAGCGCGTTATATCAGCTAAAGTGCATCGTATAAAGTAACTGTCGATTCTTGGCTACTAATGTATTACATATGGTCTAGACTCATTTCAACGTATAATTTATAATCTGCATCACTCAAAACTTATATATAAAACTGTATTATTGTACTTGTAAAAAATTGATATGTAGATATAAATACGTAGATCAACAATTATCGCAAACTCTTAATAAATAATAGCACACTTAAAAAAAACTCTGAACGATAGAAGAATAGATGTCGGTAAATGCATACTTTTGTATGTGCACGTGTGCAGCCATCAAGACATCGGGGGACTTCCTGACGAGCATAGCCTCGGGGATTCTCGTTAATCGTTGAGCAATCATTAAAGAAAAATCGAATCACCGAGCGCATTGTTGCCCATCACAAAAGAACGAGGTGTCGATATGTCGCGAGCAAGCGATTTATAACGAACGAGTACGCGCACCGCGCGGATCGCGATAGTGCGCCGTGAAATTAATGAGAGGCATATGAAAGATGAAGCGACTTCTCTTCTTTTTTTTCTTTCGTCAATCCATAACCTTTTTATCGTTCCAATTAATACAAATTCATGTTGATTTTTTTCTAGCCGTTTTACTACGTTTGACGAAACGGAAAAATAATTTTGCTTTTTATATTTCGAAACGATTTCAAGACAGCAGATTCAAACAGCAACTGATGCGAGAATTGCCCGAGAAGCGTCCAACTTTGTACACTGGGTCCATTCTAGAGAAGCATCGAAGAATGACATAACGATACGTAAGACAGCCGCTCTTTCAAAAATTTATCTTCGAAACATCGAGGAGAAAAAAATATCGGCAAAGGCACAAGTGGAATCTTTGTGCGCGTAGGATATGTCGCCGGTCTTGACAATTCGAAAGGCGATATATCTATCACAGCCTGGCAGTCGCACGAGCAGCAAATAGCTCAAGAGTGTTAAGAGTTTGCTCGAGCGTTGATCATCGCAGCAAGCTGCTCTCGGTCTGACGGGAAAAAAGGTATATAGCGGCACTCTAAATTCCCGGGGCGGCTTCAATCTCAACAATATTTCTCGAGCGCCATACACACTCGATTATTCCCGCGGGACATTGAACGGCGGTGGCGCGCGCGGAATAGCCGAAGAAAAATAGCGAAATATCGGTGGAAAAGTACATCTGTGGGAGCTGCATATAGATATAAGAATCTAAGGATCGATTTGATTCGGCGAAGGGCCGGGGACTCAAGGGAACGTACGGCTGGTCGCACTTGTACTCCAATGGAACGGTCGAATCGGAGGCTGCTGCTGCTGCTGCTGCTGCTGCTGGCCTTGCTTCTGCTGCTTGATGCCGCGCGGGCATTCAACATTTTGGGAATCTGTCCCAGCACGAGTTATAGCCATCAACAACCCTTTCAAGCCTTGATGAAGGCCCTCGCGCGAAGAGGGCATAAAGTGACGGTTATTTCGCCGGTTCCTCTCAAGGTAAGGCTTTTAGTGCGAGCGTTCATTAGGATCTCTGCGAGCGCGCCGCGCGGCCCCCAAGTTATATATCCAACGAATGTCCTCTCTCGCTCTCTTCAATATTTGCCCAACAGCTGCTGCCGCCGTCTCTCGGCAGTCGCCTTTTGTAATTGCTCTCTTATGACGTTCGCTCCGGCCAGCTTCACTTTTCCACTGCTTACGAGTCTGTATTTCCGTGTTTCGCTATCTATTGGATTTTCAGTTGAATCTCCCATCTGTACCTTGGGAATTTAGTTTAATGCAGTTTCTATTTCTTCTTCAGTGTGTCTGTATGCAACGCGTGCCTTGCTGCACGTTTCATGAGCACTTTCAAACCGACTAGGCGCGTAGAAAGCATCAACAAAGTTATTTTTTGGAAAAGCTTCAGTTATCTACTGCAGCTGGGACCAATTAAGGAAATCCTTAAAGCGAGCGAGCGACTTGTTATTCCGCTCGTCGCATTTTGCAATTCCAAGCTATGTATGTAATTTTTTTATAGATCCACGCTTAGCTAGAGGAAGAAGATTGAATGGGGAACGCATTGTGATTCGGCACGCGGATTCGAAACTCAGTCCGCCCGGAAATACCTGAGCGGATAGCTCTCGCTCTGCCGAGCGAAGCTACTGCTGGGGCTGGCTAGTAGTAGGGATGAAAAGGAAAAGTCCGGAAAAGTATATCACAAAGACGAAGTCGATTCTCCCGGATATAATTGCTTGAAAGTTTGCCGGCGACTTTTTCTTTTCCTTCCTTGCTCCACCCCCGGCTTTTCGTCTTTTTTTGCGCTTCACAAAGAGACGCACAGACTGCCGAGGGGAGAAATGATTTGCGCTTTCGTGCTCGTGTTGACGCGTCGCGCAGCGCCGAGAGCAAACGAGAGAGACTGATATTCCTGTAATTTAATCATGTTTCGATGACTCCGAAACCAAACTTTGGTACTTATTAAGTGCGAACAATCTTGCTATGAGCAAGAAAGGAGCAGAAAAACTTGTTCTCGAGCTTGCGCGCCTTCCTTTTTATGTTCCAGTTTTTCTTTTCTTTCTCCTTATACTTTTGGTTTCTTTCACTTTGCAAGACTGTTGCGACTTCGACCAACTCTATCTCCCTCTCTCCCTCTCTCTCTCCTCGCTATTCCTCGTTAAACTTCAGCGAAGAGTTATGCAAAGTTAGTTCGACTTGAATTTAGTCGTACTAACATTTCTTCATACTAATAAGCTAAGCGTGTTCACTTGCCTTAATACTACCATTGCCAGACAACGCCTGTATTTTAAATTAAGTAGCTGTTCTTTTTCGGACTAACGCTATTCCGAAAGCTCATATTCGATTGCCTTATTTGCTTTCAGGTGCCGGTGGAAAATTATACCGATATCGACCTGTCATTCACTTACAAACGAGAGGATTGCACAAAATTGCGGTATATTGAATTTTATTCATTGACAAGCAGTTATCGATACGTAAATGTATTCAATTAAATTAATGCGGTTTGTAGATTCATGAGTGCATTCGAATTACTTCGCAAAAATATGAATGGAGCTAATGCATTGTGCGAAGAGCAGCTATTCAGCCGTCCTATTCAGGAGTTAATGTAACAATGCACATTCTAAATATGCATATGACACATACATGCATATTCTAAATATTAATACCCTCATAAGCAATATTAATAATATCAAGCGTGAATACGTTACTGTTACAGTGAGCGGAAAGAAAAATTTGACGCAATAATCATCGAACAACTATGGTATCAATGCTATTACAGCTTAGTTACATTTTACAATTATCCAGTATTGATTGGTTTTTTGAGTGTCGGTAACCTACCGTACGTTATGGATTCTGTTGGTAAGTGCAAATCAAACACAACTAAAATTCACATTCTACAATTTGAATGATACAAGCGTTCAGAATATAAAGTTGCGTTATCAAAAAGCGTCAACCCATCGGAACGAAAAACAAACGGACAGATTTTTTTCCGAATAGCACTCATTGAATTTTCGAAAGGTATAAGCCTGTACGCGAAACTCAATTACTTTAATGAATGCATTCGCTAATTTTTTTTTTCTCGTTCTCTCTCCTCTCTTTTCTCCATAATTAAAACTTTTGGAATGCTATGACGTGCATAGCTCACTCAAAGCAGTGCGAAATTTTTCGACGAGCTTTAAAAAAAGCCCGCCTTCGGCTCGAACGTTGTTACACTTTGGGAGGGATGAAATTGACGTAAATTGTTGGCGAAGTAGAATGTGCCGACAATCGGCAGGGAGCTAGAGCAAACTTCTCCCTTTCTTCTCCTATGCTCTATACAGCTTTTGAGAAAAGGGATAGATTACCTTCCCCGAGTGCTTAACTCCGTACACGAGCGATCATTCAATTGAACTAGCTAACGGCAAAATTGCATCATCGCTTTTTCTCTACTTTTTCTTGTTACTTTACAGTTTCCTAATACTTTGTGCATTGTACTTTATTATACACAGATGGCACAACGATATTTCAAACTTCGAAAAACAAATCGATTCGTCAATATAACAAAATAGTTCTAACAGTGTTTTACATATTGAAAACACGAAAGTTTAAGTACCGGTAAAAAATTATCCTATAAGATATAAGCTTTGCATGAAAAGAACACAGCGTATTGAGTAGCTAAAAATCACAAATTTTTTTCTTATTTTCCGCTCTCCAACTTCAGGGAATCCGGATGATCCTTTTCTTAATCCGGATATGGCTTATGCTTTCGCCGGCAGAATGAATAACCAGGAAAGAGTTTGGAACTATATTTACACAATGTACACGAGGTTCTACTACAATTATTTACATATGCCAAGAGCTCAGCAGATAGCTGACAAATTTACACCGGGTGTCTCCTGCTCATCGATCGACCGTAACTTCAGTCTTGTCATTCTTGGAAATAATCACGTTTTCGGTTATCCCAAGCCATTACTACCCAACGTTATCGAAGTGCACAGTCTTCAGATTACCGGCGATCCCGGCACTCTTTCCAAGGTAATCTATATCTATTTCAATCGTCTCATTATGCTAATTGTTTTAGTAACGAGTAAAGTACTTACTTGCGGGACTTTGTTATAATTCAATTGCAAATACATAACGAAAATAATGTTTTTCAAGCGTTTGTTAAGGATGAATAATTGAATTGAAAGCTGAGAAATAGAGAAATATTTGACTCCAAAAATACGTTTGATGTATTAAGGACATTCAAGAATTTCTGGATGGGTCAAGCGAGGGAGCTATTTACTTCTCTTTGGGCTCGAATTTGCAAAGCCAGCAGCTGCCGACAAGAGCTTTGAAAGCGTTGTCCGATGCTTTCGGTTCTATAAAGCAAAGAGTTCTCTGGAAATACGACGGCCTCTTACCCGTTCAAGCGGCCAACATCAAGTTCGTAAAATGGGCGCCCCAACAGGCGATTCTGGGTAAGTTAGCCCCCATACAGCCACCAGCCCTAAGGCTAATTCCTTTTCTAGAATACAATAACCCGCTTATAAAAGATCGACTTTTTAAGAAGCCAATCCCATGACTGTTGGCATTTCAGCCTTTGTTATAGAGATTATAACAAGGCAATTGATAGTCGTATTTGTAATTTCATGGATAACGCAGTACTGACACATATTTACAAAATTTTAATTCTCCTCGTATTAACAACGATCTATTCGGCACTTGCTAAAGTAGAAAGCACCGATTCCAATAGAACAAATTATATTAATTAGAAAGGCCTTGTTCATCTGAGATATTATTTTAATTAATATTTTTCTTCTCTCGCAGCGCATCCTAATACGAAAGTTTATATGATGCAAGGCGGATTGCAATCAATACAGGAGGCTGTTTATTATGGCATACCGCTTTTAGCTTTGCCATTTTTCGGCGACCAAAACTTCAACGGACGCAAAATTATTGAATCTAAAATTGGAAAAGTTCTTCATATAGATACTATGACAAAGGACTCTATTGTGGAAGCCATCGGCGAACTAATGCGCGATCAAGCGTAAGTTTCAATATAAATTGGGGCTCATAAGCGCCATGTTTTGCAATTACAAGTTTCCGTACTTCAGTTATGCTTACATTATAGCAAAATTCATAAGTTTGAACGCTACCACACAAAACTCTTACACAAAAATCTTTATTAATACATGTATTATCTTAGTTTTGAAATTATAGTTTTATTTTGCTTTCAGATATTCGCGCAACATTCAACAAATGTCTGCTATCTTAAAAGATGAACCAATTAAGCCGATGGATAAAGCAATATGGAACGTTGAACATGTCCTGAAATTCCCTGGTGCTCAGCATCTCCGCTATCATGGAAAAGACATATCATTTGTTGAATATCATGGTACAGTCATTGTACTGTTCTTCATCATCATCATCATCGTACTCACTTGTATCTTCTCGTTGTATTGTGTGTCAGCAACTATATTGAAACGATATACACATGGTTTATACAATAAAATTAAAAAAATGAATTGAACAAATCTATGAAATCATCAAACATGAACAAGAACTTTAATTTCTGTACTGAAATATAGAATACATTGGCATTCAAAAATTAATTCGTTTTCATATTTAATTTTTCTTTATTAAAAATGGTTTATATTGACCAATATTGTTATTTCAATTTAATTTATTTTCAAAAGTTAACTATTTCAAGTGATCAAATTCAAGCATGAAATCGCAATAATAACTCAAATAAATAACTCAAATTAGCGGAGGCAAGTTAGGTTGGCTTATTACCAACAGTGATAACAGTTTCAGCCTCTTGTTGTATGTAAGAATGCATGCTGCCATCTATTCTTGCAATCCAAAACTATTTCATAACATGTATCGAAACACAAATATTTATTGCTATTTCATACTAGTTTTACACTCGTTATATATTAGATTTATACTGAAGCGAACAAAATGCGATCATCATTAATGTGTATTTGCTATAAATATATTTAGGTGGGAAAAGTAAGCATCGCTATATATAAGAAACAGAAAAAAATTATAAATATTTTTACTAAAAAACAGACAGAATAAGATTTATCCATTTCGTGATTTATACATTTTGTTTCTCACTTATAGGTAGAAGTAAATTTATGCATCTTTAGTTCTGTTCTACTTACATTCAGTATTTATGCTTTTTATGTCTCTGTTATTTTTGTTAAGATTTAATACTTTAAGTTTTTTTAAATTACTGAAGTAATTCTAATCTAGAAGTATAATTTAATTTTCTATTTAGGCGTTTAATCTTCTATTCCAGAAAACATTGATTATAAAATTATTAAATCAATATAGTGGCGATTTCACACAATGATTTTACACATCCTGTGAACTTTGTAACAGCTTATCATTTGATACAACTTATTAACATTTCATTGGCTTATATTAAAATTACTATCGAGCAATAAGGCAACATCATAAACATCAAGAAGAAGCCTTCGTTTCATTTTTGAAACTAATTCGTTATCTGACGATATATATCAACGTTATTTTATCAAATATGCTCATCAATCACGATAACATTGTCTGTGCTTAAAACAAGGAAATTAAAAAATTTACTAACTATCCAACATCACTTGCAAGCTTTGCATTTTATCTTGTTACAGGACAGATTCATAAATGGGGACAAAAAAGTTTAATATTTCATAACATTCGTGAACAAGCCTACATAAATCACAGCTTCTTTTATTTGTGCTTTAACTATAAGCTCTTACTGAGTACATTGACAAATCAAAAAGCTGTCAATTCTATTTCCTTTAAAAATGGAATCTTAGCTAATGTCATAGTCACCTTTTTTCCTTATATGCAAAAATATTTATTAATTCAGATGCTTCAGTCTACTGGTGTTCTTATAATTATATACATCATTTATGCAGACACATGATTTCTTTATCAATGGATTGGTATTTGTATGCAATAAAAATCAATAGATTCAAATCGCTAGCGGAAGAGGTTCAGATGAATTGGCAATTATTGATGGAATCAAAATTGTTGAAACTGCGTACAATATATTTCAAAAGGCAAAGAACTAGTGGAATTAAACTTGGTTTGTTTCGCAACTAATGTTTATGTTTTACAATTAGCGGTAAAAATATTAAAAGTGTTATATTTTTTAACGTGCAATAAACTGATTGAGTTGATTTACTATTATTTACAATAGTTACTTAATAAGTAATAATTTATCGTCGTTTTATTAAAAAAATAGATCGATTGACAATTAATTATAATTTTTAAAAAGTAATAAGTGAGGACTTTTTTTTACACTGTCTCACTATGCAAAATGTATAGATACATTACAACGACTTTTCTATTTAAATCATCTCATGAACTGTGATTAAATTAACATTTTTCTTTTACATATACGATTGACCTAAAAATCCGAGAATCAATGATTTTCTACGCCTTGGCCTTATTTTGAATCATTGCCTTTCAAATTCTTTTACAGCGATTTCTCAACGAAGTAGAAAATTGAGCTTTTGCCGCAGCTTCGCATTGTATATATGTGGTGCCCATAGCGAGATAGACTGCTGAATGAAGAGGCTTTTTCTGCATTGTCGTATTATATTGATTGCCCGCTACTTGCGCGGAGATAGAGCTTCGTTCGTTTTGCTCGGAGTTTGTCTGCTGTAGAAAAATGACGTAAGCAAGTAGCGCTCGTTGGTGGAAGGCGGTAGCTCTTACAGCCTGCTGCTATTGGTCGTCGCTTGGTATAAGCTTTGTCCGTTCTCGCGGCAGTATTTAGTTCTCTTCTTACTCATCTACTGACAACTTGGTGAGTAAAAGGCTGCATGTAATTTCATTGATTTACCATTGTCGTCTATCATCTGGTGTAATTGGAGTTTAGTATTGAAATATTTTTCATTGTTATAACCTCGAATATAAGAGTAAAAGTTACCAGTGTCAAGTTTGCTCATTCGCATGCGTACGAATCAAAACAAAGACACACACAGCTGATTTCCCACCAATCGATGATAGTGCTGTGCTGTTCCATTTCAATGGAATATCACAAATCTGCTAGGCATCCGTTTATTGCGTGTTTTTAACAATTCGAAACCTTAATAATAATTTTTATAAGGTTGCTAAATGTTGAATTTACATGAAAAGTGTTTTATTCAATTTTTAACCTAAAGTTACATGATCAAAATATGAAAAATGTTATTTAAATATTGTGAATAACAAATGCTTTATGATGAACTAAATATTTATTATCAATTCAATTTGCATATTTTACGAAAAATTGTAAATTTTCATGAAAAGTCAGATTTTTTACAGGTTAAGTGGTGTTATAGAAAATTATTACAACGACGATCCATAATATTGAGATAATCATTTGGATCTTAGGAATCGTATATTACGTACAATCCTGTGTAATTTTATGAACTCACGATCAAACGGCAAAATAAAAACGCTTAGCATTTTACCATAATACATTGTCCTTGGCAGTTGAAACTGAACTGACAATCGTTACGTCATGTATTTGCTTAGAAATAAAATAGTATGCAAAATTTACGAGATGACAATCAATAATATAAAGCGTGACAAGAAGTTATATAGCGCAGCGTCTCGATGAAATTAGTCATCCGATAAGTGAGCGCATAACGTTTTACATACTCGCGACGCAGTCTGGAGCGTACATTGGACTTTGATCGCGACTCGGTCGACTGTTAATATACTTCATCGACGATCACTTATCGTTCAATACCGTCAATCACAAGACTTTCAGCAATATCTTCAACAGTACTTACTAGTCGTTTTTCAAACTACCATATCATGTTACGAAATGTCTTAACAGATATGCATTGAAAGATAGAATGACAGTTGTTGCTATTTAGTTATCATTTTATAATGTCTTTGGATTATTAGCCTTTTGTTACTAATATTAAAAATAGTAAAAATATCTCTTCTCTACACATACTTCTTAGAGATTGAAAAAACGATCAGCATAAAAATTTACATACTGATATATATATCAAAGTGATGCATTTCCGGAATATTTCCCATATCAAAATTTAAGAAATTTCTATGAATATAGGATAAGCCCAAAATTAACATAAATTTTATTAACTCTGTATATATATTTAAATTATTATTTAGTAAATGTTAGCAAATAAAATATATTATTACTATTTTTTTCAATATTGTCAGCGTTTCAACACTACACGTAACGTACATGTGAACATTTTGTAGGAAACAAAACATTTCTTATTCAGAAACGTCATATGCGGTTTGCAATATAAAATTACAAACATCTTTCCCACATATTCACAACGGATTTCCTATACTCTTTTTCGCAACGTGATTTATATGTCAAATTCAAGATTTCCCGGCTATTAACAGCTTCATGGATTGGTGCTTATTCATACAAACACGTTTGACCACAAACTAAACTTTCTCTTCCTCTTCTCGGTTTATTTCACCTTGAAATATGTCACCAATCAAGGGTAAACGATACAAAAGCCAAAAAAAGAAAATAAAGACAAATCTAACGTTGTAGTCAAATGAAATACATAAAGAACTTCTTTGCACCGACTGAAAATGTGAGAAGGCATTTCTTTTAGCTGATGCCGATTCACGAGGTTGCTATTTTTAGCGTTCATCGTTTTTTTTTTTTTTACTCTCAGAAACTAACGAAAGTATACTCTTTTAAATACACTACCCGGACACTAATTAGCGACCCGCGAAGTTCAAAATCCAAATTGAGCGATTCGAATGGCCGATTGAGCATTGCTGACATCGCACGAGATTAAACCAAAGGGCTTCTTTTGGCAAGTTGTATCCACGCAACTTGCCAGACAAAACCCATCTGATGTTATCGATGCTCAATCGTCGAAAGTAATTCGGAGTTTGAACTTCGCAGGTTACGAATTGATGTCCAGATAGAGTACAACACTGGAAATTACATACGAACTAAAGGATGACACAGCTTGTTATTCATTAACACGTTTGGGCAATAACCGTTATTGACGTGAGAAATGGCCAATTAGACTGATACCTATACGACGGAAGTGATACTCGATAATTGACGTATGCGAGTTGTGTACATGTTTGTGTGCTTTTGTCGAAAATGTATATACGAGCGTTGCTTGCGAGCATAGCTCTCGATATGTGGAAAACTAACAACGCAAACGTAAGCGCTTTCTAGTAATTGGAAACTCTGAGTAAGCTTTTAGCGCGATTGCGCACTTTTATGCGAGTGTATGCTACGCGTGAAATATATTACAGGCACAATGACTTGCTGTCGTTGCAAGCAAAGAATTCAACTTGACACCCCCGACTTTTCTTTCTGATTGCAAACTTATCTTGTATCTGCTTACCAAGTCGTTTTCTTCAAACGTTTCTTTTGCTAAATATCGTTTAACAATTTGATTTCAAGGCAAACGAAAAACTTAAACCTTTCCAAAGCAAAAGGTTTAGGCGCTATTTATTTCATCGATTATTATGCCAATGCTGCCGTACCAAGCTGACGTACAAGTCTATAGGCCAGTAGCTGTTGCGTTAAATGTCGAACGAATTATATAAGCTATTATACAATTGGCAAACTCAATTGAACAATACTTTTTTCTTTTGATAAAGGTTTATTATATGTTAAAAACTAATTAAATTAATATCTCATTGCAGGAAATAGTATGTACAAAGAATTTCGTGGCAAGGAAATAAAACACGAGCCGCGGTCGCGTGGGCTGCACTCATTTCCTGATCACTTTAGAGAATCCAAAATCTTTCTCTGAAATCAGTTCTCTACCACTGAGTGGTAAAAGAACTTTGTAAATAGTGTAAATAAATAGCGACAAGTTCATACACCAAGACATATTCTTTAACAATTTGAGTTTACTTCTTCAAAGTTTTTTTTCACAAAAGAGAAATAGTTAAAGCGCGCAAAAATGAAGGTTGACGCGCAGAATGACGTGTCTCTTGCAACAAAACTTCTTACTGCCGGAACAGCAGCTTGCATTGCTGATCTGGCGACCTTTCCACTGGATACAGCTAAAGTCCGCATGCAGGTAAATTGACCATGGATTTAAGCTTATTTACGCAAAATAATATCCTTTTGACATCATAACTTTGTATGGCTGTTATTGTTTCTGTATTTTTACGTTATTATGCCAAAAGAATGTACTGAGTAACGAATACCTAATAGCTTCATACCTTAAATGAAATTGGTAAAATGTCTAATTCACTCGTAATAAATTATTCGTGTATCTCTGACGCTGTAATCCTAGTGAAAATTCAAAAAGTAAATTAATTTCTCAAGCCCGAGGTATAGACTAAGTCACCATGTTATCTACCACTACACTCCAAATAAAATTAGAAAGGGTATAGTTACTATTGATTACCTGACGTTGAGACTTGTAATTTCCAATATTAAGTCACAAAGATTATTCAACTTTTTAGAATGTTTCCTGTATGAAAATTCATTCATTCATTCATTGGAGCTTCATGTTGCACATAGTCAATATTATGTTTAAGTACATCGTAATACATTATCACGTATAATGATTATGAAGCCAAACAATGATTTTTCTTTGTTCGTAAACTTCCTTCTAAAATCTATAAATGAATAGGTTTATCAGTTCGATGAAATAAATTTATCATGTGTTGAGATCATGTAAGATAACTGCTATTTTAATAATACAAAATTTCAAACAAATTTTCAGAAACTTCATGCTATAACTAAGACGTGCTATAACTTTGATTTTTACTAGATATAACCTTGAATGATTGTAATTGATGTGATTTTAAAACCAATTTATTAGTAAATTTGTCAAAATCTTCGTATTCAAATTCAATACAAAATACTTATATATACAAGTTGAATATTCGGGTTATGACAATATTTATACTAACAAGAGTGATAACAGATTTCGCGAGACACTTGCCAGACAAAATAATCTCGAATCAATGATAAGAAAATAATTAGCTCAAGAATCAAACGCAATATATCTTTAATACAAAAAAATGTATTTACAAATCATCGTGATTCTTGTTAATGTTTGCGTAACTAATAAGCGAAACATCAATATTATTTATTATGATCATTTCGATGTACGAATCAATGTAATAATTTGTTTAAAAAGATTGCTGGTGAAGGCCGAACAATGTTGATGGCTTCAGCTGAGGGCTCATTATTGGCCGTGAATACAGCTCAGCCTGGATTATTACAGACTGTAGGAAACATCGTCAAAACTGAAGGAATGAGGTATATCTTCAGTCTTTTTAATGATTTTTTAATTCCTACCGCAATCGTAAAGCTAATAATTCATGAAAAATGTAATTATTCTTTCAACTATTTTAATTATTGCTATCACTTTTTTGTTGATTTGCTTTGTAGTACGTAAAAAAATATTGCTAGATGTCAAAACATATATTGCTGAAATATTCGATGAAAACTTTTAACGTTTATTAAAGACTATTTTTTATTCATTTTTAGTAGTCAGCTAAATGAACGTACCGTAATTAATAGGCTACAATTACTAAGTCGAATTATATTTGCATAAAATAAATATTACTGTTGACTCCTGTAAAGTTTTATTCGGGGTATTTCTTGCTTATATATTTTATTGCTCTTTCGAATGCTTCTTAACCTTCAGTTTTGTGACAACTACTTTTCCAATTGAGCAAAAGAAAAACGCGAGAAAATGAAAGTTCATGTCTTGGCATTGACATAAATGCGAAAAAGCATCTGAGCTAGTGGTTAAATCATTGAGGAGAAAAATAGATGATATATTGTTGTATGCGTATTGTTGAGCGTGGATGGTTACAGGAGCTTATACGGAGGTCTCTCCGCGGGACTTCAAAGACAGATGTGTTTCGCCAGCGTGCGCTTGGGCCTCTACGACAGTGTCAAGACACTCTACGCGGGAATGATCGATGGTATTACCAGCTATAAAGACTCTATGAAGAGCTTAGTTAATGAAATAGTCTACATTAAAAGAATGCATACTGAATTGAAAATCCATTTATTTGAATCAGTTTCGATCCGAAAGCTCTATTGTTTTCAAAGTTTAACTAACTTTCATATGATTGCAGTATATTTACATTAATTTGAAACGGTACATTAAGCTTTCTTGTAATGAGAAGAACTCTATGTTATCTACACGAGCATCGGTAAAGTTATTGCCTACAAAACTTTCATTAGAGATGATCCTTTTTATCATATAATTTTATACAACTTTGATTTTAATAGCTAGTTATTTTTTATATTTTCCAAAAAGGCAATTAGTTATAAAAGTTTTCAATTTCAAAAGTGATGAGTTGATTTGTCATTTTTAGAAATATGTAAAACCACTTGTTTATATTTATATGCTTAACATTTTCTAAAACATATCTTTATAACTGAAATCTTAAAGCGTACTATGCAAAGTAATAATGTAATAAATGCTTCAAAGCTTCAATCTTTCGTCGTATGCAACTCTCTTAATTTAAAACACCTAGATGAAACTGAAATGTTATAAAAGATGTATTTTCTGTGATTAACAGGTAACAATAGACCATCGAGCGATGGTTCAATCAACATAGGTGTGCGCATCGCTGCGGGTATGACAACGGGTGCCCTTGCCGTCCTATTCGCTCAGCCTACAGATGTGGTGAAGGTTCGGTTGCAGGCTGGAAATCATGGTCATGGAAATGTACGGTACGTCTCCACTCTTCAAGCTTACAAGAGCATCGCCATGAACGAGGGAACTGCTGGCCTCTGGAGAGGTAAGTCATATATACGGATACCTATTATTTTTTCGCAGTCCTTTATTTTATCCAGTTTACAATTACAGCTTTAAAACATGCAAATGAATCTTACAACAACCGTGATTTATACACTTGTTCACGTTTTATTTTCACAAAGAACTTTCGTTCAATTATGTGAATCATGAACCGAAGCGAGAGACACGCATAAACGTTATTTCGGTTGTGTCCCACGCGGCGAGTAAATGCACAGTGACCCGTATCCGAGAAAATTGTCAACGTCATCATCCGAGCAGTAAAGCTATGGTGTTTTCGTTAAAAGAGCGTCTGGAACTTTGTATCAAATACAATATTGACAGATCCAGGGGAAAATAGACAACGTTTGATCCCGTTAGAAATTATATTTACTCGCAAAAGCTGATATTTTCTTATGCTAAAAATCATCGGACCATTCACGGATACATTTCATCATATCACACTAAAAGCTTGACACACGACTTGTGACACACTTTTTACTCTTATATGCAAAACTTTACGTAGAATTGACATACATGCGAGTAAATTATTGACCATTGACATTTAACCTATCGACTCTGCGCGCATATATATACGTGAATAGGCTCCAGCGCGGTAGGATAATTAAAATGGAAGGTCTCCGACCGCTGTTATTTGTCCGTCATTGGTTGCATAACTTAATTAGACCAATAAAAATTTTCTTCGCTTATATTTAATTAACTTAGCAGTACAAATTTGCTGGCGTGGTTTTTTCTTTTTTGATTTCGTTTGAATTAGAGTGATTACATTTACATGCGATCACAATTTTGATGCCCGCTAGCTGTATTGATTGAGGCTTATACTAAAAGCTTTCCACCACTCCACTTTTCGAATTGACGGATGCTGTCGATGCACACACACACACACACACACACACATATGTATATGACATCTGTTATGAAACCTATTGATCAATCAAGGATCAATAAAAAATCATTTATCTGACACTGATTTCTAATGATCATCCGTCATGGTTGTCAAGAGAGGCACTGAGGACTTTGTATCCCATTATGTTTGTTTGTAAATTACATAATTATGTTCAATGACGTTGAATTACGCCATCTCCAATAACACAAAAAGATTCTGTATGAGATTTGCTTTTCTACTATTTTCATTATTATTTTCTCGCAAAATCACAATAAGTTCTTTAATGGTAAAAATGTAATTTCAATGCTATGGTTTTTTCATTGCAGGCACAATACCAAATGTCTCACGTAACGCGATAGTGAACGTAGCGGAAATAGTATGCTACGATATAATCAAAGAGAAGCTGCTCCAGTCAGGACTATTGCAGGACGGTATACCATGTCACTTGAGCGCAGCCGTGGCAGCTGGGCTTTGCACGACCATCGCCGCAAGTCCCGTGGACGTTGTCAAGACGCGCTACATGAACAGCTCGCCCGGCGAGTACAAGGGTGCTATCGACGTTGCTGTGCGTATGTTCATCAACGAGGGTCCCATGGCATTCTACAAAGGCTTTGTACCAAGCTTTGCTCGGCTTGTCTCCTGGAACATTGTGCTCTGGGTCACTTATGAGCAAATCAAGATTCAAGTGAACAATTTTCAGAATAAACGTGATTCTTTTTAAATATCGCACATTAATAGGCACTGTTCATGTAGATCCGTAGATGTTTAAGATAGTTAAAGAAAGGGCACGTTTACCTTAAATGCATTTTTTAAATTGGTGGCCAGAATTAGTTTCGTCGTCGAACCACATCTATATTTTCATTGATTTTCAAGACTTAAACTTTATTAAATGTTTCAATTTCTTTATAACTTGTAATCGTTCGATGGAATTTGTACTTTTAGATGTTGGAAAATCTTTAATTTAAACTTACAATTCAATGGGATTTTTTCTTACTACGAATTTATACAATCATGTTTGATATTGATTTTTATATGTTAATACAATAGGCTTTTCCAATATTTACGAGAAATAAAATGAATTACCATCTCTACAAACTGCTCATTGATAAACGGTGTACTGTATTGATTGCTGGATATAGGAATAGCTTATAATTTTATAGTAACATTTTGTCAGTTAAGTAACAGTTGCCATATATCTTTAGCCTATATCAAAATTAGTTCGATAGATTACTAAGAAGTTTATGTTGCCTTAAGAGGTGCTCGAGTTCGACAAATTTAAACTTAAATGGCTAATAATAACTGTATTGCATATTAAAATCTAGTTTGATGTATGAGTTACTTTAGTGAATGATCTGTTTCCGCAATTTTTAAGAATTCCAAGTATGTGATGTTTTCATATTCCTTTATTACTGTGATAAATTCCGATCTAAAATAGCTAGTACAATTATCAATGCCAAAATTACGTTCTTTTACTAATTATTTATTGTAACATGATCGTTATTATGTTTTATCTGTTTGTAAGGTTCATTAATAAACGTATAACATTTGAAGAGGAATCGTTTTTCTCAACCATGTAAACTCTTCTAAAAATGAGAAATGGTATCAACGTATGTGCATCAGTTGGAAAAAAATCACTTGCAACATTCATCTTCTCACTACCATATCTTTTGCAAATGTTATTGTATGCCATTTTTTATTTTACGCATGTAGTTTAATATATTAATGATTATATAATTGGAAATTAGGGTTGAATATCAGGTCTCGATGAAATGTTTACAATCTCGTTCACTTGCTTTTCCAAAATTAACTTTCTGGTCAATTACATATTATAAAATTTTTATACTAGTGATCTAAAATTTCGATTGAAAAAGTAAAATACAAGTTACAACTATTCGATATATTTTTTTTCATATTGTTGCAGGCCATATTGAGCTACAATAAATTAGCAATGGTGAAACTCGGCCTTATTCGTGTAAATAAAATTGATCGACAGTAGATAATACTGTTATTTATTATATTTTTACTCTTTTTCAAACAAATTATTTCATCCTTACTCTTTTCAGTCGTTTCCAAAAAATTCTTTACGTTAACATATGACATTACAAAACGATGCATATGCTTATTGACAACAACATTGATTTCATTGAATATAAGCCGATTATTGACTATCTAAAAGTGTAATAACTGTTACTCATCGAATACTGTATAATATAAATAAGTGAATAAATTATTATCTTCAGTTTCAAGATTTAAATAGAAAAATATGACATAGTTAACTTTTGAGATCGTTATTTATAAGTTCAATCATATATATCGTTATAGTATTGAAGTTAATGTTTCTAATTAATAATTTATTACTAAGAGATACGTAAAAATATATAACAACTATGTATCTCAATAAATCTCAATGTATTCATGTACTAATAATAATTAGAGTGAAATAGAGTAGAGGGATTCATAATATGCATTCAAAAAAAATATCCTTCACATTTTAAAAACGTAAAACGGCATTGAAAAACTTTAAAAACAATGAATTATTCCAATTAGTTTGATAAAAGACCACGTATCTGCCCGATATGGTTTATATATTGGTCGTTTGAAAACTGCCTCATGCACAGCTGGCACCGTTAAGAGACCGGCAAGTCTAATCGATCATAAAACTACGTGTTTTCAATAAATAAAGTAATGTTTAACAAAGAATAATTAAAATGCACACGTATTAAAGTATTTACTGAAAATGTTTATGTTTGAAAGAGTAAACACAGGTATAACAATGACCGTGACGGGTATACCATGCCTTGACAAAGGTAACAAGCAGTAAACTTCAACCCTTTTAAATCTCCAGTCATTTAAATTTAAATGACCAACAAGTGTTGTAAGACGCGCGACGGAGCTGTACCGACTGTGCAAAAGGCAAGTTGGCTAACAGGTAGTTGGTTCAGACTTCAGCACGACCAACGTCGATCTGCGTGTGTTGGCAGCTCTGCGTTTGAAAAGGCTTTTCAAGGTGGAGGTGCTTGGCTCGCGCAGGCGCAGGTGAAGAAGAGTCTCCTTACTTGTGCCTGCTCAGTGCTCAATTGTGGTCGGACTATAGGAAAAAGCAGTACTTATATACTCAGTTGCCGCCGTCCCGTGGCGCTTTCGTGCTAGGTCGCGACGATACTGTAGCTGCAGCCGATCCCCTCTGCAGCAGCACGGTGGCGGCGTCGCGGCACACGGTGCACGGTGGGCGCGAGTTAGTGCGCGCGCGAGTTGCGGTGTGCGCCACAGACAGCTCTCTTTCTCTCTGTTGAAAAGATACCGGAGCCAGCGGAGGAGAGAAGGAATAGGAAAGAGATAAATAGCGCGCTCGCGGGGGCCAAATATCTCCGCTGCGAGCGTTCACGCAGCCAAAGCTGCCAAGTTGCTAGCCGAGTGAAGCATATCTACACATCAGCAAGTAACCGAGGTATATCTTTCACAACCGATCCATCCACTGCCCATCTACGCGTGTACCTGTGAGTGTATACCTGTGTGCTAGCTTGTGTGCGCGAGTGGCAAGGTTATGTCGCCAAGGCAAAGCAGCAGCCCAACCATCGACATCAAGACAATCCAAGTCTTGAAGATGGAGTCGAGACGAGGCAGCTCGAGATCGTAAATATTGAGAACGAGGAGCGAAGAAGAAGAGGAGAAGGAAGAACGGATCCACCTGGACGGAAGTAAAAACGTGAGTACCAAACATTCCGTGCCAGTCTCTCGGTGGCGCGCGCAGTACGCCGATGTATTTCGCGATCGTTCTCCTGCTGCTGCTCTCACGAGAAAGTTTGAGTAATGGATTTGGGTGCCGGCCGCGATGCTGGTGGCCGTGCCAGCTGAAATTCGCGTTCCTTTCGCGAAGCGAACCTACATACATGCAACGCGCGTGTCTGTCACAGCCTGCACACGGCGTTCACTGGACGCCTCTCTTTCATTCATCGACAACTCTGATATCTTTCCCTGCGGGCACCGTCTCGTGCGCGCGCTTGCAGATTTATTTTTCTTCTCCGCGCGGAGAGTCGCACGCCTGGAATGGCAAATGCGGCGCTCGACAGTACGTATACGTATTTATAAAAGCGCGTTGGCCCCCCTTCTGGCTCAAGGATGTCCGTGTACGCATGCATGTGTGCGCTGATTGCCTTTTCGGGGTGACTAATGCAGAAACGTGCACGTATATAGCCGAAGCTTTGCTGGCGTTGCGTGTACATAAGCTATCGTGTGTGTATGTATGCAGATGGGGAGCGCATTGCATTACCGTTCGGTTCGGAGCTCTCTCTCTCTCTCTCTCTCTCTCTCTCTCTCTCTCTCTCTCTCTCTCTCTCTCTCTCTCTCTCTCTCTCTCTCTCTCTCTCCGGCGGCGCCATGACGTGTATTATGTACGCTGCAGAACGCGCCAGCCAGGTTAAAAGGCGCAAAAGATAGCTGCTGCTCGCTGCTAGCTGTATGGCCAGCACGAGAGAAAGACGGAGTAGCGAGTCGAGGCTCTTTGCGGTTTCCGTGCATTTTTTATTCTACTACGTTTGCTCCTCGCTCTCTCCTCTCTCTCTCTCTCTCTCTCTTTCTCTCTCTCTCTCACTCTCTCTCTCTCTCTCTCTCTCTCTCTTCTACTGTGTGTGTTTCGCTGCTGTGTGGCCGAGCCCCTTTTTCTCTTTTGCTCTATCTTTGCCCTAAGCATGCGGTAACTTTCGTCCTCCATAGTTTTGGCGCGCCAATATTGTATGTGTATCGCACAACACATACTCACACACATTAGCTCGATACGTACTTTTCTTTCCGATGACCACGATGGCAAAGCCGCAGGTGTATTATACCTGCGAGAGAGCTACGTGTGCTCTCTCTTTTGCCGCGCTTACAAACCTTGGCGGCTTGATTCCGCGAGACCGAGCACACGCAACAAAACGATATGCACTGCCAGGATGACGCCCGGCTTTATGTTTACACGCTTTTCCGCTTGTCATCGTTTAATGAAGCCACTACTTGGACAGAGAGAGAGAGAGAGAGAGAGAGAGAGAGAGAGAGAGAGAGAGAGAGAGAGAGAGAGAGAGAGAGAGAGAGAGAAACCGTGCTCGTGATGATCGACGTGTGAAAAGCTTTTTCCATGTAGCTACAATTTGGAGGTCGACTTGAGTAACTCGTTCTCCTTTTTGTGGCACGACTCGGATTTTCCAACGCGCGCGTTGACTCGAGAGTTGTGTAGAATGCAGACATGTGGATATGCATGTGTACTTACACGACCGCGATGGAAATTGGAACTTTCCTGGAGAAATTACGTTTGCCGACTTCTTCCGCACACTAGCGAGCAAATAGTTGGATTGTAATTCACTTTGCTCTTTTCTCTCGCGATCATCATTCCGCGCCGACGTCTGCTGTTATTTTCGCTTGCGCGTGGATTATTATGCACCATAAATTATAGGAAACGAGTTTCGTGCTTGGCGTTTTTAAACTTATACAGAGGGCCGAACATTGATCATTCAATCATAGAAAATTTTCTTCGTGACTTTTTTTATCTCTCCTATATGTGTGCATATTATATGTCAGCAAAGAAATTGTCGGCCATTGCGTCATGAGAAAACTCTTCTGCATCTGCATTGATGACAAAAATATACAAATAATTACGTATTACTCTGTAAGATGTCATTAGGATCCTGTGGATTCAGTGAAGCTTCATTAGTACGTACATAGTATTTTATTTCTTTACTCGATACTAAATATCCAACAGGCTTTTATTCAGAAACCAGTCAATGTTTCATAGAATCATAACTAGGAATAAAAATAAATTAAAATAAACCGCTTAATAAGATATTTAGCGAGAGCCCACACAATTTGTAGTCGGCACTTGGAAATTTTTCATTGCCAATGACGAATTGAAAACCGGTTTATCAGCAAATTCTTTCGTTAGGCATCAAGTCAGTTCGAACAATAATTTGAAGAAATCAAAAAGGATGTTAGCTCTGGCGCTAACGGTAAAAATGCATATGTAAGCTGTCATATAAAGCATATACACTCGACGATGTGTATACGTATGAGCTGAGTGCGCGTGGAAAACGTTAGGTTCAGCAAACATAATAAAACTGATCGTTAAAGTGGAAAAGGTTAACTGTATCTATTTCACCGCCCGAGAAAAGGGAAAAGAACAAAAGAATGCAGAACGATGGCGATGCATTTATGTGTTGCTCTCGAGAATTGAAATACCTCTTGAACCTGCTTGTAATTGATTGGAATTGTATCCTAATTACGCAGCGCTTTTATTCCACATTGATGATTCAAATGAAAACTACCCTCGATAAAATGCAGTTGGAATGAGTGAACGGAACCCGTGCGAATGAAAGTTCAAAAAATACGTAGGTGGAGTTGAATGAACGAACAAATATTGTCGCAGCCCGAGATTTCGGCTCACGCCTGCGGTATGTGCTTGCTTGGCGGATGATTAGTGTATATGTGCGCGTCCGGTGCACGTGTGGCCGATTGCCGACCCTTTCGCGGATAAACATAGCCCAGCAGTATAAAGAGAGGCGCGACGGACGTCTTCTTCGTCGTGGTGGTCGTTGTCGTCGACGGCGCCGCTAACCACTTTATATTTAGCTCTTTTAGAGAGACTTGCAGCTATGTGCACTTTCAGACTGTTGCGCTCCGTCTTGCGTTAGGGCCGCTATCGATCTACACGCACGAAGCAGCAGAAGGAAGAGGGAAAGAAAGAAAATGGAGAAATTTCCTCTGCGTCTAAAATTGCACTTGGATGCGCGGGCAATAGCGAAATTCTACCAAGTTTCTCGCTCTCCACAGACGTACGTAACGATTAGGGTCTGGCTTCTGCGCGGACACTTCTTGTTGACCAGTACTGGAGCTCTCGATCTTTGAATTTTATGAAGGGAAATCGTATCTCATGACCAGCGTTGAATGAACTCCGTTGCGCACGGATCGTCTAATGCTGGATATATTATATACGGAATTCCAAATTAGCTTTCCGACTTCATTCTCTCGCGAGCTTGCGATGCTATCGTCAATCTATGTACATTTAGTTTGAATTCGAATTAAAGCGTATTTTTGCAAAGGAAAACAGAATTAGGGCGTTCTCGAATGTAGGATATGTTGCAATCTATTATTCTGTATTATTGTGCTTTTCAAGTCTGTTAACAATTGACTTCTTTGAAATCGTTATCAATGGTTTTAGTGAAACCCACAACCATGACGGGCGTGGTTATTTCTCGCTACTCTCAATTGCGGATGTTGAAACAACAACTTTTTTCTTTTTTGGATGCTTCATAATCAAAATCATGTACACGATAGCACTCGCAGAATTACATAATTTTACAGTGGTTCAATGCTCAATGACTTGCTATCAATTAATAGTTCGAGCATTGAGCAATTGCTATGATAACTTCCATTAGTAAGCTCTTGTTTATAAAACTCAATATTTGTGTGAATTGTTATTTGATAACATTTAAAGTGAGGTTTGATCGATTTGAAAAGTCAAGCAGCTGATCAATTAATATCTGAATCATCAGATGGAATCGATTGATAAGCTAATTTTATTAACTAATCAAACTTTATTCGAATAATTAGGGGTGAATAATCTTCGTTAATTCGTTAGTTGTTGAAAATGGCTTATAATTTGTTACAGTCTTGAGTCATTGCTCTTCATATAAGAACATTTTTTCTCAATGTAAGAAAAAATATCCGTTTTCAAATACATTTTTTCTTATATATTATTAACAACCATGATTCAAGAATGCAGCATAGATTTAAGAATCATTATTGCAGCGTACTTTCGGAAAAAATAAGCAATATAATAAAGTTCTCACAATGACACGTAAAAAGTTTTAAAAATGGATTTTTTTCAAGAAATAGTACTTTCCAGTTTATCACATTTCCATTATATAAAATACTCTGGCAATTTATCATTTTTCGATATTCAGTTACAAGTAGTAACAGAGCTTTCAGGAAAAATAGATGAACCTGTCATATAACAGTTTATAGCAGTTTATATATACGGAATACCCGTGTTACAACATAACATACTTTCTTTCGAATTAATAACATAACGCAACGCTGAAAATTTGGCAAATATTGTGGTCATCTCTTGGCATATTATAGAGTAACTTTCTTTTTTAGTACCTGGATATTCTATTTGCACCTAGCGCGAGAAATTATTCAACAGTTATGCGCTACAACAAAATCGTTATATAAATATCCATAAAGCCGCATTGGAAGGTTGTGTGATAATAACGAATCAACAATAAAATTTACTTACGCCTCCGGAGAATCTCGACTATAATATCATTACGTCATTGAAACTCTGACGCTAGGTTAATAGAAGAAGGTGAAGTTGCATGCGTTACAATATTATACTTATAAACGCAAGTATGTAATCAAAAGCGTACGAGATTTGATAAGACAGGCTTGATTAGATAAAAAAAATTTTCAGCTTATATTAAAGCAGCTGCGACTATATCCGCCGTAAAATAAATTAGATTCGAGCACACACGAAGTTTGAGTAATGTTGATTACTTTGTAATCCGCGAAAAAATGAAATTATACCGCGCGAATATCAGTTTTCAATTTCACTCTAAAAGTTCTATTGCAGCACGTGAGCGTGGAAAAGATAAAACGAATTGAACGAAAAATTGTTGCGTCACGCGGCCGTTGACGGCAAATGATACCGGTCCCGCGCAAGATCTCACAATTATTTTA